CACACAGAGCGCAGCCCCACGCCATGGCCGACACCACCGACCTGCCCGCGGGGCCCCTTTATCAGGGCCGCGACGCGGAGGGAGCCGCCCCGCTGCCTGGAGACAGCGCCGGCCCCACAGCAGCGCCGGCCCCTTCCCCGCCTCTCGCTTCCCCTTCCACCCCCTTTCCCCGCCGGGCAGGGTGGACAGCCCCGCTGTCCGTGCGGTGTCCAGGCCGAGGCGGCCAGGGCTGGCGGAGCTGGAGGAGTCAAGGCTGCCGGGGAGAGGCCATGCGTGTGACGGGGGAAGGTCGCTTTCGGGGTTCGGGCGCTCTGATATTCCCTGGACGTGGCCCAGGGGAGGGGAGGGGAGCGTTGCCCTGCCTTTCTCTGCTTGTAAACAACGCTGGCCGCTGCACGTCTGATGTCAAGAGATCAAAAGCCAGTGCCGGCCTTACTGGGGAAAGCTTCACGGCTGACCCTTGGGCACAGCAGCGATTCTGGTCACACCGGAGCTCCGCGGCGGCACCCAGCCTAACTGCAGCACCCCCGGCTCCGGGCACAGATCATGCGCACCTCTTCTGCAGCGTGGAGCCCTTCCCCGCCCGTGTTCCTGCAGCAGTCTTGCCCTTGGACATGTCTCCCGCGGCGCCGCCTGCAGAGGCACACCCGGTTCTCACATACACCTGCTCTGTCCAGCGTTTCAGACACTGGGTTTAAACCCTGGGCTCCAAAATTCGTGGTGCTGGAGACCCACGAGTGCTAAAAACCCAGGGGTCACCTACAGCTCTTCACCACTGCATTGCTAGTGTTTATGTGCAGACAAGAAAAACTCTCTATTACCTGAATATTTAAAAGTCTTTCACATCAAAGGGTACAAATATAAAAGGGGAGCCCATAATAATTCCTGCCTCCTTGCCAGGCACTCAACAGAAAAGCATGCAGACCTTATGTAGGATACACTTACATTAGATACTAGGATGAAGTTCTTCCCTGTGAGGGTGGTGAGCCACTGGCACAGATTCCCCAGAGAAGCTGTGGCTGCCCCATCCCTGGCAGTGTTCAAGGCCAGGTTGGACGAGGCTTGGAGCAACCTGGTCTAGTGGAAGGTGTCCCTGCCCATGGCAAGGGGTTGGAACTGGATGACCTTTAAGGTCCCTTCCAACCCAAACCATTCTATAGTTCTATAGAATGAGTACATTTTCAGAGATGTATGGGTGAAGTGCTTCTTCTTTGTTCACAAGAGGGCCTCAGATGACTTGATGCCAGCTCTGGTAATAATACTGCAGGAGCATGAGTATGAATATTTTCCACAGTACCACCATGCAATTTCTTCGATCTGTGCTAGAGTAAATAAAGTTCCAGAGCAATTACCTGAGATTATTTCAGTGTCTGTGTAAAATAGATTTGAAAAATCTCTTACTTCACTAAATTATGTGGGTACAATAACATTAAAATGAATAGCAGTAAGTACAAGAGCACTATATTCCCTTTTCCTATATTTCCTTATCCATTGTGAGGAAAACAGAACAGCTTCTAAGGAGAAAAGCTCTTTGCTTTATCTAGGAAAATAAAACCTTAGGGAGAGCCCATCATAAAATGAGTGCAAGTGAAATAAGGCTATCTGCTTCAGAATGCTACCTATGCCATATGGGTTAGTGTTGCTAGAAGAGGAGAACAACAAACACACATCCAGGCAAAGACAGTCCCACATAAATGTAATGGAGAGCCAAAAATCCTTCCTACATGCATCTATCTGATTAGACAGTAGGTAAGTACCATCTTTCTATAGTTTTTATTTCATACCTGGTTTAACCGCCACAGATTATTTAAGAAAATGTCTCTTTTGTAGTAACATTTACTGAAAACTGAAAAAATAATCTGAGGTAAAGGACAGCCATTTGAGCCTTTTAAATGCAATAATAATTTTGATCAATGCTGGTTTGAGGTACAATTCTTCTGTCACTAGGTCAGTGACATGTTTCCATGTTTCTTACAAAGAGCATGTCCTGGATTCAGCAGTAGCAGTCATTTTTCTCCTTCTTAGTAGCTGGTGCAGTGCTGAGTTTTTGACTTTCAGCCTGAGAACAACGCTGATAACACCGATGTTTTTAGTTGTTGCTCAGTAATGTTTACTCTGACCAAGGACTTTCTGAGTCTCACGCTCTGTCAGGGAGGAAGCAGAGACAGGACACCTGACCCAAACTGGCCAAAGAAGTATTCCATACCTCCATACCAGGCTGAGAAGTCAAAAACACAGCACTGGACCAGCTACTAAGAAGGAGAAAAATGACTGCTACTGCTGAACCCAGGACAGAGCACAAGGTGTCTGCTTTCAGCATTACCTTCTTGAGTTCAAGGCCTTGAGTTTTTGTGTGCTTAAGTCTCTGCATTCCTACGTACCCTTATCTCTCATTTCAGCTTTTAGCATGTTGCTCTATCTTCATCATTTTTCACACACAGTTCCCCCCTCTCCCCCCTCCTTACTGAGGCTACTTACAGAGACTTGAAGGAAATAACTTCCATCTTTCCAATGCTCAAATCTCTCCTTAATCTTACTTGTTTATTGCATCCTTTTCATTTCAGTCTGTTTTAAGTCTTGTGTGTGAGCTCCCATTAATTCAAAACCTGAAGTCTAGTTCTAATTAGGGCAAGTTGAGCTACCATGTCTGCTATCCATTTTTAAAACCGTAAATAAAGCTGTCAGTGCTGCCTTCCTGGCCACTGCATTACAGTTCAGTACAACCTCTTCCCAAGCAATAGAAGGTAAACCAGAAAAATCACTTTTTTGCCAGAGTAAGCTCCATCTATACCAGTAAATGAAACAGGGCTAAGGCAAGGAGTCAGACAGTGGCAGCTGATCATCCATACTTTTAAACAGTTATTGTGGTTCATGGTATGGCTTTGCCCATAAACAGTGTCCCAAGGATGGTGATGTATGTCTGAGCGGCATCAGCTGCAGACACAAGCCAGAGTAGGCCAGTTGGTCTCAAGAATAGAAAGTCCAAAGATTGTTTTACTTACTAGCAAAGACATAGTAAAGATGGTTACACAAGTCTTTGCAACTGTTAAGTAAATACCAAGTTAAAGTGGTGTAACTGTGAATAAATAATTCTTTCCTCCTCTTCCCTCCTGTCCTGGGTTCACCCTACACCTCACTGTTTCCTCCCTCAGAAAACCATAGGAAAACATCTAACAACAGAGAATCACAAAAAAACACAAAATAGTAATATAAAAACACACCGTGGCAAGACAATTCTTATTCAGACAGCCAGGACAAATACAGGAAACATCTTCAGACACAGAAATAGATGATTCCTAATTGTTAGTCAGTGATTTTATGTGGCATCCCCTGGAAAGGATTTCCTCAATGTAAGAGGCAAGAGCCATTTCCCACCCTCTACACAGTGTGACACTTGTGTTTAAAGCTGCAGAACTCCAAAGTGATCCCAGCCACCTGCAGTGACACTTGGCCCTGCCCTTCTTCTAAATTGCAGATCCATGACTTTTCAATTAGATTACAAACGCTTAACTTCACTTTTCATTTGCAAAGTGCTCCACAAGCTTTTACTGACACTGCAGTAATTGTACCTGCTTAAAAGGGGCATGTTACTTTTTAAAGGAAGTTTACCTCCAGACAAAGAGCTCCTGGGCATCAAGTCTCCCACACTGACCTAACCAGGTATTTCACTGTGACTTAGTGTTCCAGATTTCTCCTTCACAGAAGGGTGAATTTTATTCAGGTCTGCCTGCTTGAGCTCTGCTCATTCCTCTAGACCACACTACTTTGACTTCTCCTTCTATTTATCGACATTAAAAGCAATTTTACTCAGAGAAATAATGAAAAACTCCAGAAAAACTCCAGTCTTTGCTGCAGGAGATGGGCCATTTATATGAAGATAAGATTTATTTAGCACAACGGGGCAGTGATGGAACCCAGATTCCTTGAGTAGTATTACCCATTTTCCCTTTTCATAACATACTTTTGCTAGTTTACATTAAGGGGTGTGACTACATCACCTGTGTTTATACGAATAACAGAAATACAGAATACGTTCAGGTAGGTTGAACAAAATTCCATTTGCTGATAATGCCATTGTGTGACATTACTTCTACATAATGCCTCATGATTATTCAAACAAGTGAAATATTAGAAGTCATCAAGATACAAATATGTAAGGACTTTTCCTCAGAGGAATAGCTATAGGTAAGGCTAGAACATAGCTGAACAAACCATGTTAGTTGAATCTTATCATAGGTGGATAACTGAGGGAAGTATTTAATGTTTTTCTTTAAAAAGAAAAAAAAAATTTATTGCTTTCTTCATGTAGAGCAAACCTCTTCTGATGGTGAAGAAGAGGCAGACTTTGTCACTGATATGTACATTCTGATTCTTAGACCCCTGTTGTGAATCTGTCCTCCTGAGCTAAGGGTTCCAAGGTCACCGAAGTCAGTCCCCCTTCCACATCTGGAACTTTCCAGTTACATATTTAGAAATGTAAAACAATATTTATTCAATTTAAATATATTGTGATGAATCTGTAAATGTTTCTTTCTGCATGGACTCTCTGTACTGGTACCGAAAAGACTGTTCATGAAAGGAACTACCAAAAACTTTCTCTTGCAACATTTAATATTAAGTGAGGGACAGAAGGAGGAGAAGGTGGTGTCCAAAAGTCTGATTCTGCTGAATTTTGCCTCCCTGAGCACCCACTGTAGTCAGCAGAAACTAACTCCATTGTGGAGTGGCCAAGGAACATAAATTAGGAACCTGCTCTGAATCCTACACTGAAAGATTTTCTCTTGCTCCGTCCCATTACACAGAGGTATCTTATGGAGTAGCTTATGTGTTCAGTAAACACAGGAAACCAGTCCTTTAGTAGCTGTTAGCCAATGACAGAATCAGATAATGAAAAATCCTTTCCTAGTCCCCAGATACTTTTTTCTCTTCATTATTAGCACTACTTTTTTGACAGGCTTTTAACAGTTCAGTTTCCCTAACACAGTTAGTTTCAATCTTCATTTTCATTAACATACTCCTCTTTGGTTTTAATAGAGAAGGAAATTAAAGTTTATTTCCTTTTTTACACTTACATTATGAATTCCAGCACAAATCTCGGACTTGCTCTCTAGTTCAGGCACCCTCTGCTGGTTCTACCAAAGTAGAACACAAAATAACAGAGAATGACCATTGCCAACATTTTAAAGAGGAAAATCCAGATTTCAGTTTCTTAACCTTTTACTATCAGAACATAAATTATGAAAAAGATCAGTTTTGGGCCTATAAACTGAGCATGGGGAGAGATTTTTAATGAATTCATGAAAGTAATTGCATAATCAAGCATGTGAACCTGTGGAATTTCTTAGGCAAAAAGTCCAAAAATGAACATGGCCTAAAAATCTAATCACAGCCTGACCTGGCTCTTAGCAGAACCCTGTGATCGGCATTTTAATGATGATGTTCTGCAAGGAGCTCTAGAAGCATAAGCTACTGTGGATGGGTTTTTTCCCTGTGTATCTCAGTTAGCAAAAGTCATGGGCAGTAGTCCTGCTTAGATAATACATATTTTAAGGAGTCAGCGGTAAGGAAATACCATGGCTAAATATTAGCTTCCATTCCAGCAACACAATAAAACAAAAAGCTGATCTAATTATTCATCTCAGAAAATTCCGAGTGTCAAAAAGGTAAATAAGAGCCTAGTGCTTTCTTAACTGGCTGAAGGGTAGGACATGCTGATATTGGGAAAGTTTGGTGCACCTGGTACTCTAACAGTCTCTTTCTGATACTAAAACCAAGAAAAGGCAGCTCTAAGACCACTTTCAATACTACCAGCATCTAAGCAAATCTCCTGCACTGCCCAGGACAGGAGATACAGGCCTGTCAGGAGGGCCCTATTCCTCTTCAAAGTGTGTAGGATGGTATGCTGCAAGAAGTTTTGTTTAAAATCTACAGGAACACAAACCCAAGATGTATATGTGTTTTGAGAAGCAGTTCACCTATTCCGCTTTCTGAAGCCAACTTTTACTTGACATTAAGCCTCAGTAAAAGCAGCCTTTGTTGAGGATCCATACGGCTTTCTGTGTATAGTAGCGCAGGTGTCAACACAAAGAGGTTCAAGAGAGTTGCAAAATATAGTAATGTTTTATTTTGCATAGCTGAGTCTTCTAATGAGGTTAAAAAATGTTATATGTCACAGCCACAGGCAAAATACTAGCTACAAGTATGTAAATCAAAGCTATTTAAGCAATTCTGGTACCTTTTCTGGGTAAGTAGATTCTTCAACATACTGGAGACAGTGCATTGGAGGAGCACCAAGATGAAAAGAGACTTAGAGAACCATCTTCATTGAGCTGTAAGAAAAGAAGGAAAAGGGAGGATTTTAACTGCTGTCTTCAACTGCAGACTCTTCAAGGTGTGTAATGGTAAGAAAAGAGACAACAGACATAAACGGCAATGCAGGAAGTTGTGACTGGAAACAGGTGCCCAGAGAGGTGGAATTTCCATTCTCAAAGATACTAAAATCTCAGCTGGACAAAGACCTAAGTAAGTCCATCTCACTGTACATATCTTGTGCCAGGACTTGAACTAGATGACCCCCAGAAGTCCCTTCCAACCAGAATTATTCTATGATTTTATGAAAAGCAACTGCTGTATCATTACTCCATCTTAAACTGATGGAAGTTGTTTTGACAGTACTAATTCTTCCCCCAGCAAATAAGAAATATAAACCCAATCCAGACTCACTGATGTCAGTGGGAATCTTGAGTTTAACTTGAAAGGCACTGGAAAAACTTCAATGCTTCTAGGATTCATGTTCAGAAAAGATCCTAAACTTCATTTTTGTCAGCAACACTAGAAATTGCGTTAGGATGGTGGTGGTTTTTACTGTAGGTTTCTCAGCAGGTTGCTTTCACAGGAAGAATGAAGCATTTGCACATCAGCTATTTTTGAGGATTCACAATTTCTGCCTAGAGAGCAGCAGAATGAAATGTTTGCTTAGTGCTTTGCAGGTACGTAACTTTGCTTTTCAGGTTGCACTTGCAGGAAAATTCATGTTTGCTGTTACTGGTCATGAGCTTCTCATGTAACATGGGTTCAGCTCAGGGCAACCGCTACTTTTGTGTTGAGACACTGTCTATATTAATTGAAATTTATGTCACAGAATGGCAATTTTGTGACCTCTGTAGAGTGAGCTAATGATTCAATCCTGTTTTCAGCAGGCTGCTGTGAATTAACATTGCCACTATTTTCCCTTTTCACCTCATCATTTTTCTCATGGTTGTAAGACAAGCTTTTTTCCTCTTCCTCATCTTCGCTCTAACAAGGTATTATATTGTTTATTTTGGACATAAAGTAAAACATAGAATTATAGAATCATAGAATAGTTAGGGTTGGAAAGGACCTGAAGGTCATCTAGTTCCAACCCCCCTGCCATGGGCAGGGACACCTCACACTAAACCATGTCACCCAAGGCTCTGTCCAACCGGGCCTTGAACACCACCAGGGATGGAGCGTTCACAGCTTCCCTGGGCAACCCATTCCAGTGCCTCACCACCCTTACAGTAAAGAACTTCTTCCTTATATCCAACCTAAACTTCCCCTGCTTAAGTTTGAACCCGTTACCCCTTGCCCTGTCACTACAGTCCCTAATGAAGAGTCACTCCCCAGCATCCTTGTAGGCCCCCTTCAGATACTGGAAGGCTGCTATGAGGTCTCCACGCAGCCTTCTCTTCTCCAGGCTGAACAGCCCCAACTTCCTCAGCCTGTCTTCATACGGGAAGTGTTCCAGCCCCTGACCATTCCTGTGGCCCTCCTATGGACTTGTTCCAACAGTTCCATGTCCTTTTTATGTTGAGGACACCAGAACTGCACACAATACTCCAAGTGAGGTCTCACGAGAGCAGAGTAGAGGGGCAGGATCACCTCCTTCGACCTGCTGGTCATGCTCCTTTTGATGCAGCCCAGGATACGGTTGGCTTTCTGGGCTGCAAGCGCACACTGAAGCCGGCTCATGTTCATTTTCTCATCAACCAACACCCCCAAGTCCTTCTCCGCAGGGCTGCTCTGAATCTCTTCTCTGCCCAACCTGTAGCTGTGCCTGGGATTGCTCCCACCCAGGTGTAGGACCTTGCACTTGGCATGGTTAAACTTCATCAGGTTGGCATCTGCCCACCTCACAAGCGTGTCGAGGTCCCTCTGGATGGCATTCCTTCCCTCCAGGGTATCAACCAAACCACACAGCTTGGTGTCATCAGCAAACTTGCTGAGGGTGCACTCAATCCCACTGTCCATGTCAGCGACAAAGATGTTAAACAAGACTGGTCCCAACACCAATCCCTGAGGGACACCACTCGTTGCTGGTCTCCAGCCGGACTCTGAGCCATTGACCACAACTCTTTGTGTGTGGCCATCCAGGCAGTTCTTTATCCACCGAGTGGTCCATCCATCAAATTGATGTCTCTCCAATTTAGACACAAGGATGTTGTGTCGGACAGTGTCGAACGCTTTGCACAAGTCCAGGTAGATGATATCAACTGCTCTACCCCTGTCCATCAGCTCTGCAGCCCCATCACAGAAACATCACAAGGGAGTAATGAGAATGCAACACAATAAATGTCAAGCACTAGCCAAATATTTTGATTATTCCTATAAAGGTTAAAAAATGTGTTTGTAAAAACATAATGTATGCCTTTACACACACAAATATAATGGAAACGCAGATTTATCTTAATAAATACATGAGTGATATACAATAAACTGAAACAATCAAGAAAACATATTTCATGTCTTTAAAAGAAAACACATTCCCAAACCTCTCAAAAAGTAGCTGGCCTCCTAATCCAGTGGATTAACTGAAATTTCCCAAAATGGAAGGATACCTTTCTGTTTAGGGTGGAGACTTGGATCATCTCTAAGTAGCATTCATGATTTTAGTAATACTCTCAGACAAAGCTGTATCATATGACTTGCACTTATATGTTCTACAAAAGAACATATGCTAAAGTGACCTGCAATTCATCTTTTTGTGATAGTTTCCTCCTCCTGAAACTCTGACCTTGACCTGCACAACAAGCATATTCTTTTCACAGTGGTATTGCTTTGCTAGTATTTTGTTCTGCACCATCTGTAAAGAAACACACCATCATGGGTTGTCACAAAAATGCTAAAAATCCAAATTATACTTGTTTTGCTTTTCTAAGAAAACCATCAAATATAGCTTGTGATCTCATATCCATTTTTATCATGTCCTTTACGCCAGCAAACATGAAACGATGTCTCTACTTTTGACAGTCATACCACATCAGCACCTATGTAATGAAACTAAATTTAAACTTCAGTTATGTTGTCAACTAAAAAAAGGTGTAAGTGGTAAAATCCAGCTCCAGAACAGGATTAACCTTTAAATCCTGGACTCTCCAGAATCCTTGGCACTATGGAAAACCTATTTTGAAAAATGTTAAGTAAGGTTCAGATTTCAAATATCTCCACACATTGGCTGTTTGATTCTGACATGCTGCTTTTAGTGTAATTTAACTGTTTAATTAACACACACAGGGAATTATCTCCTCAGTTGTGTCCCAAGTAACAGGTTTGTTAAGAGACAACTGATTCAGCAGACTTACATCAATGAACATAGCAAAAAGTAAGTTGTGTTTGGCTGTACAAAGAAGGCAACGACATCCAGCTACTTTAACAAAAAGGACTAGTAATACGAAAAAAATTAAGTTTACAGAATATAAATTTTATCCTCTCATCAGAGCTAATCTCCTTCACATCTGGAAATTTCAGTCTTTAACAAATTTCAGAATCTCTTGCTCGAATGTTAATAATTATAAGACTCTAAGAACATCACAAGACTCTCGATGACTCAGTATGAAGTATTCTTACGCATCAACAGTCTGATATGTAATTCTAGCTGTGATTTCTAAGCTAATTTTTAGATTAAACAACTGACAATTGTAGGCAGGTCCATTAAAATTGGCTGGAATAACAGCTGTTTTTACAATATGCTAATGACTAAGGGTTTGATCCTGCAACGCTGAGGTCAATGGAAGCTTTGTCCCCAGCTTCAGTGAGGATACAGGCCTTCATGCACAGACTACTAATAGCAAATGAAGACAGCAACTTACATTTACCCTCACAGTTTTAAAACAGAACCATCTAGTGAACAGAATGGGCTAAAGCCTAGCTGATAAAATATTCTCGTTGTTTTCTACTTCACAGCTCGTCTTATAGCAAAAGAAGATGTTGTCAAGAAAATTAAACTTTCAGCAATTGAACATGAAGATGTAAGCACTGACCACTGATAGATGAAGATGTAATAAGGTGTATCCCCTTCAGCTTGGAAAGAACCGCAGAAAGGTACCTATGCTGGAGTCCTGTCATGCGTCGATCAACCCAGCCCTTAGAGTACTTCAAACCAACTTCTGTTTTTTACTGATGCTGCTTCAAGCTGGTTGATGGTTTTTGCACTGAAAAGCAAAGCAGACAGTCCTAACAAGACCACTTACATAGTACCATCATGAATGCGGTAGATGCACAGCAGCCAAAATGAACTGGCTTACTGTAGCAGGCCATGCCAACACTTCTTCAGGCATCAGACATGTTATATAAAAAGGGGCAAACCAGACAAGTTCAGGACAAACAGGACAAAAAGGCAAGACCTTTCCATTTCAACTACTGAGGCAGCTGAAATTCTGGGGAAGGGGAGGGGGACTCAGTATTTAAATGGTTCTCTTTTTTCCCCGCATTTTTCATTTTCTTTAAAATGCTCGTAGACTATATTGAAATTATTTTTTAATTTTGCCATTCCACATGAAAAGCAAAGTTTCCTGGCTACAGGGTCTTCAGTTTGCTACACACAGAAAGAAGCATGTGAAATGCAGGTGATTTGATCAGATCTGAGAACCTAGAGAAACCGCAGTTACCTTCCTGAGCTGCCTGAATTTTTGTCATCTTACTTTGGACATCTTTGCAGAAAATTTTGAAGAAATTGGGAGTGCCATGTTTTTCCTGTATTTCACATAGAAAAATGGAAGAGAAAAATAGTGGGACAAAAATAATAGCAATAATCTAGAATAAAGCTTTATATTAATTTTCAGCATAAAAGGATTTCCACTCTAGTGATAGTTTGGTCTTTACTGTACTTTGCTCCTGCTGATTCTCCTGAATTGCTTCAGCCAATTCTCACTGGAAAAATAAAACTCATGACCAAGAATTGCTTTCTTTCTCTCGCTGCTAGAGTAAGAAAACCATGTTGCGATGCCCTAATAATTTTGTACCTAATTTTGTAGATTGAAAATTACTAGCATTTGTTTTTTGACAAATGTGCTAATGGTTTGAAACTTGTTTTAAAAAGCTACCAGGAGAGCATAAATTTTATCTTGGAAGGTCCAAAGTGTGGCAGTTTGCACACTTTACAAGACTTCAGCAGAAAGTGGATTGTATCAGAACTGCTGCACTTCAAGAATGTGGGATGTTTGCATATCATGTTCTTCAAAAGACCAAAGTCTTTGTGCCATCTCTCAGGTAAACTCGGTTTGGTTACAGGATATACCCTAGGTGTGTACTTCTGATGATTTAAACATCATGTGATTATTAATCATAGCTACAGTACTGGCATTTTATGGAGTTTCCAATGGCACACTGCCTTCCCAGGTACCTACACCTCATCACACAAATGCATTGTGGGAATAGTAACAAGAAGACGTAAAGCCTGCAGCAAGTTATCCATCTGGCGTTTAGATTCCAAAAGTAGGAACAGCACACTGGAGAAAAGATAGGGCAGGGCATTAGTATTTCACAAGTCAAGTATAAAGTTCTGGCAAGTTCATGATCACACTAGGACAAGCCATGCATATCATTAATATTGAGATTTCTTAGATAACCTCTAAGCACCACAGATAATTAATTTCAGCCACCTAAAGATTAAGGGTTTAGTCTAGGTGGTCATTTCAGAATCTTCTGTAGTCACAAAAACCATAGGAGAGAAAATTCACCTTCAGAAGGCAATGCATCCAACCTGCTGCGGACACCAGTGTAAGCATTGCAGTAACAACCACACGAAGGCGCCTGCCTCCTTCCACTGGACCACGAGAGCCTGGACAACAGCTTAATTATATAGCTAATATTTAGATAAGTATTGTTAGGTGATACAACTCCTACTCCAAGCAAAACACACACCCCCCAGTCTACTAGCTCTTTAGAGTGCAGAGTAACTTCAAATGTACTATTTCCTGCCTACATCAGACAACACAGAGAGGGGAAACTGGGATGATAAGTAAGGGAAGCTGAAACCTAAAGGTTGTGCTTTTTCTGACCTTTTGAATGAACTACATGTGAAACACTGAAAGAAGTACAGCTTCTTCAATTAGGAATCAAGAAATCTAAATCTTGCAGTTTCACCTGGAGTACTGTAACCAGCTTTGGAATCCTCAGTACAGGAAAGATATGGATCTGTTTGAAAAGGTCCAGGGGAGGGCCACAGAAATGATCAGAGGAATGGAACACATCTATGATGAAAGGCTGAGAGAGTTGGGGGTGTTCAGAATGAGAAAGAAAATACTCTGGGGAGACCTTACTGCAGCCTTTCAGTTCTTAAAAGGGACCTATAAGATGGGGAGAGACATTTTAGCAAGGCCTGTTGCAACAGGATTAGGGGTGATAGTTTTTAACTGAAAGAAGGGAGATGCAGGGTGGATGTGAGGAAGAAATTTTTTACAGTGAGGGTGATAAAATATTGAAACAGGCTACGCAGAGAGGTTGTGGAATGCAACCATCCCTGCAGACATTCAAGCACAGGCTGGATGTAGTTTTAGGCAACCTGATCTAGTTGAGGATATCACTGCTCATTGCAGGAAGATTTGACAAACGACCTTCGAAGGTCCCTTCTAACCCAAACTATTCCATGATTCTATGACAGTTAATATTTGTACTAAATGTCCCCTGTTTAAAGAACATACAGTCAAAATTCCCATACCTCGTGATATGCCTTGTAATAAAAGAAGTTTAACCAACTGGTATTAAAACTTGAAGAGTTAAAAGGAGCTTTGGGCAATACCAACACAGAGATTACAGCAGACTCAGACAGAATATGGCCCTTGCAATGGAAACTGATTCTACACTGGAAGTAAACTGCCATTCGATACCAGTAGCAACTGCAGTCCCATATTCTTTTTTGATGGGAAGTGATGCTATTGGGAACAGCTTTATCCGGAAAAGTGTGAAATTTTCTAAATTGACAGTTTTAATGAATGCATTGGACAAAATCATCCTCCTGCCTGCAATAACCAAGTGTGCATAGGTGGTAAATATGCATTTATTTAGATACATAGATTTTGTTTAGAAATACTCTTGGCAAATACCATCCATTTAAAGACTTTTTTAAAGCTGTAACAGGAAGTGGGGAAAAAAGAAATCTCTAAAAATAATATTCTCTAAAAATATACCACAGAAGAGCAGGTCATTTTAAATATGCGTTATTGTGCTAATAGGATTTTCTTGTTCCAAACAGTGAAATAAGAATCTTCTCAATAATTCAGTTATGGTTCATGATGCAGTGTTGAAAGTTTCAACACTGGTTGAAACAGTGGTTCTTGTTACAGCCTCCTTGACTGTAACGACTAGTGACCACAGGTCCCGGACAACTGTATCCAGTCTTGGATCTACATCTAAGGAGAAAGTATAGTTGCATGCTGGGATATGTAGTCTTATCAGCTACAAAGATGCATACTAGAGACATGCCTCATACACAGCTGTTGTATCCTAATTAAAGGTGATGTTTGAATTTCTTGTAAATATTTATTCTCATTGCCAGTACAACAGGCCAGGCAAAACCAACAAACTAAAATAAAAGCTACACTTTAATAAAATACTGTGGTAATTTGACTCCATCCAATTTCCCAAGAAAAAAAGTAAATACAAAATGACAGCAGCAAACTCCCTGCTGTCATTACATTCCAGTAGTGTAAAACTAGGGCATCACAAAAAAAAAAAAACAACAAACAAACCTGGGCCATGTTTTCGTTCACTTTTACTTAAAAAAAAAAAAAACACAACAAACCATACAAAAACACAGCTGAAGGTAACAAAATCTAAATGAAATCCACAATACAACTCAAAGTCTTAGGAGAGATTTATTAAAGTGGAAAAAGAGGGTAAAAAATTAAATGTAAGTGCAGACGTTAAAGACACATGGCACGTGCCTGCATAACCTCTGCCTTGGCTGTACATTGTAGAAGGGTTTTGGTTTTTTTTGCTGGGGATAGGAGGGAAATGTAGTTTTTAAAATCTGAACTGCATCCAGATTATAACCAATTACCTGTGGATACCAAGAGAGGTTCAAAATTGCACTGATTAAGATTACGGGAATTACCTACTCATGACCTTCCAAAGTCTCGTTTTTCTTGTGGAATACACGGTATACATTCTGCTCTCCTACAATGTATTTTCAGAATATTTTACATTTAAATCTCCCTAAAGGTTTGTTTCCGCTAACAAACTTTGCTGCATTTAACTAGAATTCAAAGGTCTGGAACAAACGACACAACATCGGGCACGACCGAGTGGTGTTCAGTACCAAGCTAACAAACGCCACTGGGATATCAACATACCGTTCCGTCACAGTCAGCAATGGAAACTGGCGATTTTGTAATCACACAGAAACAGAGTTGATTTATCTGTTACAGGAAAGCCCTACAAGGGTGAGGTTTTCTTGTATCTGTTACAGCTTTTTTAGCTATCTCCGGGAAGGGCTTTGCTGTTTTTGGAGCCCTACCTGCACAAGAGCCCTCGATTAACTGCCTGCAGCCGGCGGCACACTCGGGATGAAGCTGCACCGATTGTTTTCTCCAAAGGCTAAGGGAACATAACCAGCAATTTGGGGCTTTCCAGACATTCCGTTTAGGGAAACCTTATCACAGGGCTGTTTACTCTTTTGACTGCTGCTAACGATGGAAACTATCTAAAGCAGACAACCTTTCTGATTCTTTAGCTAAGTACCCACTTCACCTCGGGGGTCCTCTTCACTCTCTCTCCCTCTGGAAGCAATTCTTTCTTCACACCCTCAAAAACTACCATGCATTCCTAATCCTCTCTTTAAAAGCACTCCTCGCATTCACTGCACCTCAAAAAAAAAAAAAACCCAGACCCATGATTTAACCCTAGCGGGCTGGAATTAGCCGCACGGAGGACATCGTCGTCCATCGTCGTCCGTCGTCGTCCGTCCCCCCACCCCACCCCCCCCCCCCCAGCCACCCCTCTCGCAGCCTCCTTGAGTATCCTCTCCCACAGCCCAGCATTCGTCGTCCTCCCCCTGCCGCTCCCCCAAACAAAATAGAGGCTTGTGTAACAGCTTCTTCTCTGAATTTGTTATCTGCAGGCTGGCGGGGAAGCCGCTCCCTGAATACACTCCCGTCCCTTTTGTCAACGCGCCAGCCTTCATCAAAGGGTCACTGAAAATCGCGGGATTAATAGATTATTAAACCCATTATGCGTTCATTAGTGGTAATCCGCTGCTGATTTTGCCAGCGGTTCTGCTTCCAGTGGGGCAGCCTCCAGAGATCTGGTTTAGTCAGCTAAGAGGATATCCCAGCGCATCCCTGTGGCGCTGCGCCCGCGGCTTCGGGAACGGAACACGAGCAGGGCGGCTCCTCCACAGCCCACCCCCACCGAGAAGCAAGAAGTGCTCCTCCCCGCGCCCGCTGCCTCCTCAAGGAGACGAGGCACACCACTGCGGGCGATATCACCTGGGCACCGCTGCCTGCCTCCTTCCTCGACCTCAGGCGAGCAGCGGCAATGAAATAATGCTGCCGCCGCCACCGCCGCCACCAGCACCAGCACGGCACCGGGATCGGGACCGAGCACACACGCCTCCACGGCCCACCTCAGGAAAGAGGGCAGTGCCGCTGACGTCTTCGCCCCTTACCCCTACCAAGCTCATGCCTCTCCTCCGCGCATGCTCGGTGCGGCGCAGCACGGAGGGGGCACGGGGCAGAGGGTGATGTAATACCAGTAACGGCGCCACCGCTATCCCCCGCGCATTTGCAGCCCTAACATCCGGGCATCCCGCCCGCTGCGCCAGAGGCGGGTTTCTGCCGTGAAAAACGGTGTTTGCCGCGCTTTGGTGCTGGCTGAGGTTTTGCTAACGGAGGAGAGTGGGGCTGAGGAGCGGGGAAGCCGGCGCGTGCCGACACGCCCCCACGGCGAGGAGGGAATGGGCGAAGAGGAGCGCGTGCGCGAGCACCCACTCCCACCTCCCCGTCCTCTGCGGCGCGCCTGCGCGGAAGGAGGAAGCAGAGGCGGCGGCGCAGTGCGCGCGCGTATGTGTGTGTCCGTCCGCGGGGGGCGGAGAACGCTCCGCGGTGGGGCGCGAGTGGACGCGGAGCTCGGGCGGCGGGAGGGGGCCCGCGGAGGCCGGGGGGGGGGGGGGGGCGGCGGCGGCCGAGCGGCGGGTAGCGAGGAGGGGGGGAGTGGAGTGAAGGCGAGATGAGCGCTAGGCTCCCCCTGGGCACAGAGCCGCCCTCAACAGCCGCCGCTTGTGAATGAACTGAGGCAAGGCCGCCCGCCGGGTGCCCCCCTCCCCTTCTCCTTCCCCTCCTTCCCCTTCTCCCCCGGCTTGCCCGCCCGTCGGCGCCCCACCGGGGCCGTCCCCGCCTGCCCCCGGCTTCCGTGCCCCCACGCACCTTCGGGAGCGCGGCCCTGCCCGCCGCAGCCGGCGCCGTCCACCGCGGCCGGGAGGTAAGTAGCACTGCGCAGTGCGGGGCCTGAGGCGGGCCGGGCTGAGGCGGGTGAGGGGCGGCGGCGGAGCTGGAGGGGGCCGCGTCCACCGCCGCCCGGGCCATGGGGCCTGTAAACATGTGGGGGCGGACGCGGTTGGAGGGGGCAGGCCCAGAGGGGGTGGGGGCTCCTCGGTAGCCCTGGTGAGGAGGCAGGCGCCATCCCCGGCATCAGCAGCCGGTACCGGGTCGAGGCTGCGAAAAGGAGGGAAATAAGAAGGGGGGCGGTGCGGGTTCGAACCTGATGTAGGATGCTGCTGCTAGGAGCCATTGTCCCCCCACACCTCCCCAGGGCCGAAGGTGGCCTGGCCACGCTGCGCAGCCCCTGCATTGCAGGCGGCTTGACCGAAGGGTGGGGGGGGTGGCAAGGCAGCCCCTCGGGGCTGGGCAGGGGTGGAGAAGAGTGAGCAGAGGATTTTGGGCCTGGCTCAGGTAGCAGCAGCTACCCCCTCCCCCATTTCCGTGACCGATTCAGAGTTCATTTAATAATGGCTATAAACAATTTTCTCTCCCATCACCGCCCAAACGCTTGGGGCACGCCACTGGGGAAACAAACAAAAAACAACCAACACGCATCTATTTATAAAGCACCCCACCCTAGCGAGGGTCGGAGCATCAAGCACTCCCCAGATAGTGACATTACTATGCAGCGGGCGGTTTTCCCTTGCCAATGCCTTTCACGTGTTTAAAGTTTTGAGAGACATTTCTCTGTCTTTGAAAGCAGTGTCGTGAGCAAAGGTTACACTGATGAGCTGTGATCTAACAGCCTGCATGTTCAAAGTAGATAGAAGTAAAACGCTTTCCTCGAATAAAAAGTTGTCCAGTGATGTACTGGATAATTGGTCTTGCGTGGTAAATGCCAGAGGTTCTGAGCATATGTCTAACCTTTTTATTATATTAGCTTATGTCATAGTAGATATGATACAGCCTTGAGACTGGCTGCAGGTTAATAGTTTCAAAAGAATTGATTTTGTAGACATCTGTTCGATAAGGTGTTTTTATTTATTTAGTACCATTACAATATTTCAGTACTGTGTATGGCAAAGTTTTGCAGTTGCAAAACTAAGGTTTACCATAGTACTTGTGAGGAATTAATTTATTCTTTTTAGTAGTACCTTTCCTCAATGAGAAGGTGCTGGTCAGTCAGCTGGCCAGCATGGTAGCCTTAAGGTTTAAGGTCCTGTGTGTCATACAAAGGAATTTTTTAGTTGTTTTTAAGCAGAAGGCAGTTCTAGATCATGAGAGCAGTAGCTGATACGTTTTCCTTAGGTTGTGATGTTTAACATCAGACCAAGTAGAAACATTCTAAAGTAGAAGTTCTAACTCTTGTGATTCTACGAAATTACTTTCCAAATAGGAGCTGATGTAGCACTTTCTTGAGCCTGTATTTATGCTGGTTTAGTGGTTAGGTGGCTGAAGCAGGATTTGTGAAGCGCTAGTGAAATTAAAGACAGCTGCTGGTACTCAGGACCTTCTGTGAATTGACAAATGACAAAAAATCATGCAAGTTCTAGCCGCATTTCTTCTCTGATAGTTTCCCTCCTGTTACTATTCATAGTTTCTCTATGAATAACATCAGAGACACAGGGTAGGGGGAGGGAAACATGGGTCAGGGATGTTTTACATTTTAACTATTAAATCAAAGTAGCAATTGAAGGAAAGGAAAACAGTTCTGATAGGTATACCAGCATTTTTTGTTGGGGGACAACTCCTAAAGGTTTCTCTTCAGGCCTTTCTGGACCTATCTTTTGTATATGAGACTGGGCTAAGACTTGCTGATCCATTGTGCCAGTTATTAATATTTTCCTCATGGACAGATTCCTGATAAAACCCTCAGATGAATGTAGCTTGTCTGGAGAGAGCTGGTCTGTCCTCTCACAATCTGGCGCAGAAGAGTGTTTTTCTCAGATACAGGCAAGTCCTAGCTCTGGTTTATGGGTTTAGTGCTTTGGTTGGTGGTTTTTTGGTAAATCTCTCCCCATGATGTACAGTAGAAAACTATACCTGTTTTCCAAGTATTAACTGTCTATAGGTGAACTTGAGATACTTTTGAAACTGAGAGATGGAAATGCCAAATGACTGGTGAAACTTGCAGGTCTAAACAAGCAGAACTCAGAGCAATTCGAGTTAAAGCAGAATAAAAAAAATGTTTTTTTTTTCTATAAAATCAAGCTGGTTGCTTCTTATCTGGAGCACAATTTATGCAGTGAAGTTGAGTCATTCTTGCTGAGATAGCATTTTAAGAGCTGTCGTTAAAATGCTTAGATATTTAACTCTGGCACAGAATAATTTGCAAACTTATGTAACTGGTATGTTTTTGAATGCAGCTGTCAATAGGGGATCTTATTGCACTTTTCCTTTTTAGTGGAACTAGGAATATAAAACAGCTGCTTTCACCAGATGACCCAAATATAAGTCATTTCACAATAATGTAATTATTACTAAAATACTGTCATTACTATTTACTTAATTTTTACATGTTCAAGACTATTTTGATGTAAAAATACTTTTTTTTTTCCGATGTAATTGGCTCAGCAGAACTACATTTCAATTAAGTGATTGAATAATGCAGGTTGTGGTATTAAATAATCAAATTTTGGAGTGAGATGTACTGTAAAATAATTGTATTCATAGTCTCTGCAAACCAGCTCACTTCAAAGACTTGATTAGTAACAATGTTTGAAGTCAAGACAATTGTGACTTATAGCTACACCTGAGCCAAACAACATTCTTGCTATTGCAGTGTGGCCTTTTGTAATTTTTGCTCATCTTTTCTCATCAATTGTACCTCACTTTTTAACATTTGTATGTCATCTGTAACTTTTTTAGATGATGCAACCTGTAGTCTTATTTGTTCTTTGGAAAAGAAAGCTCTTTTTGTGTGCTGCTTTGTTGCTGAATTCTTAGTGTTCTCGCTAGTTTTAGTCACGTGATCCAAATATCAGTAAAAATACTAGGGTAAGAAATAAACTTCTATAAAATTTAAGCATGTTTAACTACAGTGCTTCTCGCTGAAAGAATGGAAAATTGCAAACTATAATGTCTGTGTTAACAATATGTAATCCCGGAAAAAAAACACCAGTGTTCTTGGGATATTTAGAAGATCCAGGGAATGTACCTAAAATGTGATTTTTTTATTTATTTTTTTTTCAATGGCATTTTGTGCACATGCCATTAGGCCTTGCATAAGAAGGATTCATGTATTTGAGCCATGATGTGGTGTGGATCACAGTGGAGATAGCATTATCTCCTTGTAGCTTCTTTAGGTTGCCTCTGTTGCTGTCTGTGCTGGAACAAATTAGGGTTTATTAAGATGGAGCACTGCTAGAGTAAATAATTTAAATCTTAAGACTAGGAGGAATGTTTCTACCAAGGAAGTTGTAACTGGGACAGGAGAAGAAAGCAAGCATGATACCATGAGCGTGAGTAGACTGACTTTTGTTTCTGGCTACAGCTAGTATCTGACTGTTACTGGCGTTAAACCAGTGCTGCAAGATCTGCTTTTCTATATTTCGATCTGGTATAACGCCTGCTTTTCTATATTTCTGTCTGCTGTGGAAGGTCTGCTTTGCTGTATTTCTGTATGCTAAACTCCTCTATATTAAACTGCATACTAAGTTACAGATGTCTGTCAAGTCAGTGTTATTTTTTTTCTGTTTGAAGTAAGTAAGCCTTTGTTTTACTGAGTGTTCATTTTATTTTTTGTTTGTTTGTTTGTTTTCATGTACTGGTAAAATTAACTAATGGCTAGTTCAGCTTGCTAACTGAAGTCTACAAAGCACAGTGCTTATAAATACGTGAAACAATTGCTTAGTTTTTTTAAACAGCTCTTCTGAAAAGATGTTTATATGTGACTAAAATAACAGAATAAAAACTGCCTTCATCTACACATCATTCCGATGCAGTACACTTAACACTGTTTAGAATGTAAACTTTACAGCAGTGTGCTAGCAGAAGAGCATCTAAGAGTGATACAAAGCAAAAAAAAAGCCTGGCTAATCAGGTTTCAATATTGAAATGTAGAGTAATCCTGACAGTTTACGCATAGAGGAAAAAGTATGTTAGCTTCTTTATTGCTAACATCTTAGTTCTCATTTCAGGTAAAAATATTTTCATAGATAAAAAGATCTCTAAAGTCTTTAAGATAATAGTTTACAAACCCAAGGAACTCAAATGTAACATGACTTATATTCTGATAGCTGCAGTTTAAATAAAGCAAAGCACTTGAATGTGCTTATACTGATACACCACATGCAACTGAATTATGTGGGACTGCTCAGATGTATGATGTTGCTCTCAGGCTTAAATGCCTTGCTGGATTGTGACCTAGAGGATGAAATGTGCTTTCATGTTTGGGTCTCAGATGTAACTTGATAGATTTTCTGTACCTGTGTATACAGTTCATTTTAACTGCCAACTGTAAATTTCATCTGGAATTTGAATGGTAGTCTGTATTTTTCTTAACCATATATCATAGCTATTTGTGCATAAAATTATGTAGATTTTTTTACTTATAAAATACCATTAAATGCAGTAGCCATGAGAACTGTAAACTGTGCTTAAGCTCTTTCTGTTTGGAAATGAGTTTAAGGAATTGTCCAGCTGTCTGCTAAATTAAGTAAATCCCAGCCTTCAGAAAGGGGTCCACAATGCAGAAAAATGTGGGCATGTAAGTGTTTAGTATTAAATTGTAGGAACATTTTGTGAAGAAAGAATCAGTTTCTATGAGTAAATAATTTGTTGGTTCCCGTAGTCTAATTACAGTAAGTATTTGGACAGACCCTTCTTAAAAATACAGTATTTCTTCTCTCTGTAAAGAACCATTCTGAGGCTGCAGAACGAGGCCCTGTATGCTTAGGAAATGCTGTCATTAGTAGTGCTTGTATTTTGAAGAACAGATAAATTTGTCAATGTCCTCATTTGGTGGCCAGAATATTTCGAGCTGCAGTGGTCTTAACCTTG